ATCATAGGAGAATCCTAGAGCAGTCTTTATCTTGGCTGGGATCTGAGTGTTAATGATCTCAGAGGCCTTGATGGAAGCTTTGCACCACCCTTCAATGGTAGCTTTCTCAGCCTTGAGTTTAGCAATTGCTCGCTCACGCTCAGCGACAACATTCTCACGTTTAACAGTGATGGCTTGGTTTACAATAACCTGATCTTTAAGATTTTTCTCGACAGAGGTCAGTTCTTTGATCTTAGAATGGCAAATCTTCAATTGCTCTTGAAGATCAACGTTAAGCATTTTATCTTTCGATTTGCCATTGAAGGCATTGTAATGGTCAACCGTCAGCGTATCTAGTGTAGAAAGACTAGAAGAAGAAGAGGGTTCATTCAGGAAACATACCTGAGTAGAAGAAGAAGATGGCTCAGAGGATGTAGATGCTTCAGAAGATCTTTCATCTGCATCTATGACCATCAAGCAGATGTAGGCTTTATCCTCCTCATCCGAATATGATTCATCGGATGACTCAGCCCAGTCATGCTTTTTACCAATAAGGCCTTTAGCCTTTCGCTGGTTGTTCTTCACCTTCTTGTACTTGTCCTTCAGTTTTAAGTACTTTTCATCTTTGGTCCTGAAGAAGGAAGGAGCTTTAGAAGATGGCGTCACAGTCTTCTTTGATCTGTATTCACCTGCAAAATGTCCGGGCTGGTGATAGTTGTAGCAGACAGCTGAAGTCTTGTCTATTCTTTCAGACTTTGGCTTCTCCCTGAGGGACAGCTGAGGAGATCTGCGAAAGTTGCTCTTACTGGCGAATCTCCTAAATGACTTAGTCAGGAGTGCCAGGGACTCATCAAAATCTGTTAAATCAGATTCTGGAATGTCCTCAGAAGAATCTATCTTCGTGATGACCACGGGAGGAAGAAAAAAAACAAAAGGGGTAGAAGAAGTTTCAACTGAAGAAGCTTCAGAGATAAAAGCCAAAGGAGAGCTTTTCATTTCTCTGGATTCTTTTACAAGATTCTTTTCAGTTGACGAGATTGCTCATGGTTAAGCAAAATCCCGTATAAAGTAAAAAGAGAAAGAGTGGACATGTCATTTGACATCTTGAGACACATGGAAAAGGTGTCCCAAGACTCATGAAGGCATTCTAGAAACTTGGTTAAAGTTTTAGAATTAGAATATTCCCTGCCGACAGCCCTAAGATCAATAAGAAGGCAGTTAAATCTCTGATGTACTTCAGACAGCGTCTTAGACTTTCCACAGAGAAAGCTTTCATACTGTCTTACTAGATTGATCTTTCTAGTCTCTTGAACCTGAGTGGTTCCTTCATATTGGACACAGAGAGTGTCCCACATGGATTTAGAGGTTTTGAGTTTCATTACTGAGTGATAAATCTCATCAGAAAGAGACATAGCTATTATAGACCGAGCACGCGTGTCGATAGATATCTTCTTCTTGTCCTCATCGCTCCACTAATGTGGAAGCTTTGGAATCTGTCGTTCAGTAATCGCGGCAGTCGTAGCTGTTGCTGGAACAGCTGGAGCAATAGCAAATGGAATATATGGTCCATTTTCTATATAATGTGGAATTTCAGGATCCACACTTCCAGAAAGAGGGACATCCGGTTCTTCTAGAGACTAAAGTTGTCAGACAAACCGGGGAGGTTTGGCAAGAGAGCCATTATCTTTTGTGTGTGTGTATGTTTGTAATTTGTAAAGCCATTTGTAAGCGGTAAAGTTATCTAAGAAAGGAGATAAAATAATACTTAAAACAACTAAACACAAGGAAAGAAAGAAAACACTGCTCTGATACCACTTGTTGGTCCCGAAAGGGTCTACAAGAAGAGAAACAGTTTGTAGAA